AGCACCTTCCCGAAACTACTCAAGATGGCAAGGGTTACACCAATACATAAAGGTCGTGACCCTACAGACTTAAACAACTATAGGCCAATATCTAACTTACCATTGCTATCCAAAATCTTGGAAACTCGTGCACAGGAGACTGTATTCATTTATAACGGCTCAAAACATACTCAACCCCTGCCAATTTGGATTCAGGAAAAATAAAAGCACTAACGATGCAATCATAAAAGTGCTAGAACTGCTTTACACAGCATTGGAAAATAAGGAATATCCACTAAGAATTTTTATTGACCTAAGAAAAGCTTTTGAAACAGTAGACCACGACTCCTACTCCAAAACTTGATCATTACGGTATAAGAGGCCATGCACTTGCTTTTTTCAAATCTTACATTACTAATAGGTATTAGTATGTAAACCATTAAAGAAAACAGCATCAGCAACACGGCCACTTGATACTGGATTTTCCGCAGGGAAGTGTCCTTGGTCCCCTGCTCTTCCTCATATACATCAATAAACCTTCCAAACGAAATCCCAACACCTGAAACCCATTCTCTTTGCTGACGACACGACTTATGCCCTCTTTTACCCTAAATCTTGCCACCGTCAACACCACTGTGAATGAGGAGCTGATCAAAATATCGACTTAGATGACAGCCAATAAACTTACGCTTAACACTGACAAAACCTACTATATTAGTTTGGTAGCAGAGCAGGAGATGCACAAATTAAAAATTAAGATTGACAACACTCTAATTACCAGAAATAATGGGGGCAAATTCCCAGGCTTATACCTTGACAACCACCTGAATTTCAGCACCCATCCAGCATATAACCAAAAAATATCCAAAATGGTTGGGATCCTCTCCAAGATACGATACTACGTGCCGCAAATGCGCTTCCACACTATAAACCCAAACACTTATTTTTATCCCATACCCCCACCTATGCTATTTGTGCTTGGGATCAACTGCAGCAAACACCCAAAAACCATAATAACCCAACAAAAAGCCCGCAGTAAGAATAATCACTAAATCCCATCCCTGGCAACACCCCCCCCCCCACTCTTCATAACCTAAACTTACTCCCGTTCAGTACATCCACACTTATTACTGTGCAATCTGCATCTACAGGGCCTTAAACTCTAATTTTCAACCTTGACCTAAAACGTTTTTGATAGTTGTGACAGAACCACAGGCATAACACCAGACACAAACATCTCTACGACATTCCCCGTGTCCGAAATAAACCTTTACAAAAATTCAATGTAGTCAAAGGCCCTAAAATCTGGAAACCCTACCTGAGAACTCTAGAACTGCAGACACATTCATCACCTTCAAAATACCATTAAAAACATCTTATCTCCTGATACACCCTGTGAACAAAATACACGAATACCACCTGGTGGTTCACACTTTCCCTTCACTGACTCATTTGACCATAAACAGAAATATTAATCTCAATATTAAAATAATTTAATCCTGTGATTTCTCCAATACTGAAACTATGTACTGTGCCAAAACAAAAGCATTTACATTGCTAAACTCACAAACTAGTATTTAGTCACTTAGCCATAATACCAACTTACCTCATAATTTGTAATATTTTACAATTAAGAATAAAACTAAGTCTGCCCGAAATGCCTAGCCATGCTAAGCGTCCTAGTGGTACACTCTGTAATCACTATTTTGCTACATGTAAACCACACAATAACCAAATTTCTGTAAACTCAGCATTGTAATCCTTATAGAGAATAAACTTTGAATTTGAATTTGAATTTGAATTTGGAAAAAGAGAGTGTAAAAATTATAAGGAAATAAGTGTGTTGAGTATACCTGATAAAGTGTCGAGTTGTTATTGAAAGATTAAGAGTAAGACGAAAAGAAGTATCGCAGATGAACAAGGAGGCTTTAATACCAAGTGTTGACAGTGAAGCATCTAGGTGAACAGAATTTAGATAAGGGTATAAAGGTTTTTGTTGCATTTATGGATTTGGAAAAGGCATTTGATAGGGTGGATAGGAGAGTAATGTGGCAGATGTTACAAGTGTGTGGAGTAAATGGTAGGTTACTGAATGTAGTTAAAAGTTTTTACGTGGACAGAGAGGCTCAGCTTAGAGTATATAGGAGAGTTTAGTTTAATATCTTTATTATACGCCCCATACCCACCCTGCTGGCTATATAGGAGAGAGAGAATATTTCCCAGTAAAAGTAGGCCTTAGACAGGGATGTGTGATGTCACCATGGTTGTTCAATATATTTAAAGATGGGGTTGTAAGAGAAGTGAATAACAGGGTGTCGGGAAGAGGTGTGGGATTAAAAGATAAAGAATGCACCACAAAATGGGAGTTGTTACAGTTGCTTTTTACTGATGACACTGTGTTTTGGGGAGATTCTGAAGAGAAGTTGCAGAGGTTGGTAGACGAATTTGAAAGGTATTTAAAAGAAGGAAATTAAAAGTGAACATGGGAAAGAGTAAAGTTTACCTGGAGAAGGTTTCGGAGGTCAACGCCCCCGCGGCCCGGCTTCGTGGTGGTTCCGGGTCTGATCAACCTGACTGTTACTGCTGGCCACACATAAACTGAAGTACAAACCACAGCCCAGTTGATCAGGTAAGGTGATGATGATAGCAAAATAATATGTAATGAAAGATTGGATATCATATTGGAGGGAGGGAGTATGGAGGAAGTGAATGCCTTTAGATATTTGGGAGTGGACTTGTCAGCAGATGGGTCTATGGAAGGCGAGGTGAACCATAGAATTAACCAGGGAAACAAGATAACTGGAAGCAAAGAAGAGAATGCATGAGAGTGAAGTGGTACCAAAGCTCTTATATCGATAGTTAATGTTGCAAAAATGAGAAGGCTGGAGGCAGTTGGGATGTCGTGTCTTAGGTCAATGATTAGAAGGAAGTGTGGGTCCCTTAAAGCATTATCCATACGGCTGAGAAGGGGTTCTTGAGAAGGTTCAGACACTTAAAGAGGACTGAACAAAATAAAATGACTAGGAGGGTATATAAAACTACAGTGGCAGGCGGGACAGGGGTCGTCCTAGGAAAGGATGGAGGGAGGTGGGTAAAGGATGCTTTGTGTGCGAGGGGCTTAGACTTACAGCACACTTGCGTGAGCATTTTAGATAGTAGCGAATGAAAGCAAATGGATTTTATGACTTGATGTGCTGTTGGAGTGTGAGCAAAGCAACATTTATGAAGAGATTCGGGGAAACCGGTTAGCCGGAGGTGGGAAATACAGTGCCTGTGCTCTGAAGGACGGGTGAATATATGATGCAGTTTTTAAATGTAGTGTCAACACGCCTCTGGAAAGACAGTGATGAAGTAAGTGATGATGAATGTGTTTCTTCTTTCTCGGGTCACACTGCCTCGGTAGAAAACGGCCAAAGTGTTAATAAATTGAAGAATTCAGCCAAAACTAAGTCTTTTAAATGCACTCAAGATTGCATTAGGATAAACAAAAGCACTCTCTATGATTGAATTTGCGAGTCCATAACTAGATCAGTTTTCTTACTCTGACTAGTGGTCTTA